TGTCTGTCTGTCTGTTTGTTTGTTCGCGTGCTTGCGTGTGGTTGGTTGTGTTTGTGTGTCTGCATGGGGAGGGGAGGGGGGAGGCGCTGAATGTAATTGAGTGTGTGTATGTATATATATATATACACATAACATAGATAAATATGTGCGTGTGTATATATATATACACGTTATTATGGCAGTTCGTTTCCTATCATGTCCCATACACATACTAAAGGCATACAAGACAATGCAATACAGCGAAACACAACACAGTACAATACAATACAGCGCAATGCAATGCAATCAAACACAAGGCAACACAACACAACCCAACACAACAAAAGGCAAGGCCAGAGGTACGTACATACTTACGTACAGACGCGCAAATAAACATAAGTATATTATATATACATATATACACATAGGTATGTGGTATGTCTATATGTAAACATGTAAACACATATATATAATATAATATAGTATAGTATAGTATAGTATAATATAATATAATATAATATAATATAATATAATATAATATAATATAATATAATATAATATAATATAATATATACACATATATATATATAGGTAGACATACATATAGATAGATATACATATGTATATGTATGTGTATATATATATATATACATATCGATATCGTAGCATGCAAGTACACCTTGTACAAATGTGGCGTGTGCAAGAGAATGAGATGGTGTGATATGATGTGACAGGCTATGGGCAGTTCTCTAAACTAGGGCCCCCTTTTGGATCCCAAAAACAGTACCCTAAACCCTAAACCCAAAAGGGACCCTAATTTAAACAACTACCCAAAGGGGATTTCCGGAAGTAGGGGACCCTAATATAGTACACCAAATTAAATAGTAGGATCCTTATTACAAGGACCCCAAAATAAGGTACCCCTTGTTTTTCGAAACCCCCATGACTTCATGGTCGCTCCTGGCCAGCAGCCAGGGAGCCATTGCAGCCAATCTCAACGTGCGTGCAGAACTCCACGGTAGGCACGTCGCAGGCCAGAGGAGCATAGCCTGAGGTTTAGGGGTTTAGGGTTTAGGGTTTAGGGTTTAGGCTTTAGGGGCTTGGGATTTAGGGTTTTGGGCTTGAGACTTAGATTTGGAATCAGGAATCTGGCTCCCGGATTCCTAAGCCTCAGTTTCCAAGGCCATAGAAGTAATGGTCGGATCCTTACTCGAATCTTACAAACGGCGACAGTATTACTGACGAGAGGTCTATCTGATTTGTAACTGGGAGTGTCAGCTCGAGGAAAGCTGGGTTTCGAGTGACGGATTTCAACACTGCACCCTAAACCCTAAACCCTAAACCCTAAACCGCAGCATCGACTCAACTTTTCAGGACCTTCTCGTGCCAGACATTCCGAGATCTTTAAACTTGAAACCCATTCTTGGAGGCTTCGGGTTCCGTGCACCGTCGGTGGGGACTGCGCTCAAAGCGACGTACGGAGCCGGCGAGTGGAGGAGACCGACAGTCCCGCCGATCCGCAGCGAAAGATGTCTTTGCATGGACTCAACATGGCAGAAGTACAGTAGGGTTAAGGGTTTAGGGGCTTTGGGCTTAGGAGCTTTAGGGTTTAGGGGGTAAGGGCTTAGGGCTACAGTAGTGAATTGCAAATTGCGAAGACGCGCAGCAACCAGAGAGAGATGCCATCGACCAGCATTCCAACATCAATTCGCAGTGATATTCTGCCTTGCCGCTGTAGCTTTCCGCACCTCTGCAAGGCACAAGTGGCCCTCGTTACCAAGGTGCATCAAAGACGCCGCAAGCTTGGGATCGCGCATTGCCACTCGCCAGACTCGGCCAACACGTAGCCTTCGGGGACAGGATCCGGAGAATGGCATGTCAGCTCGCAGTGCGGCATGGTGAAGTTGAACCTGGCAGACGGGGTGCAAGTCTGCACGACGGGGTGCTGTAGATCAGATGTTCCTCACGGATATAGCCAAGGAGCTCAAAGGTAGGATCCGTGTTGTCCGAAGGACAAACGCCTCAGACGAAGATTCGGTCGTCTGTCGCACAGCATCCCCAACTTGGGCAAAACAGGAACCGTCATTCTGAAACCGCTGCAGGCGTCCATACGAAGGCAGCGAGCCAGCAAACGGCCACTGGCAGGCAATCTCGCAGCTGTCTCCAGGGTTCAGAAACGTGCAGTTCGAGAGGTCCAGCATGCACTGATCATCGGGGAGCACTGGCGCCACGCATGGCATAACTGGCATGCATCCTGCCACAAGGAAGCTCAGTGTTGAGGCGCAACTCGAGGACCTATAATGGTTGGGCCCCGGCGGGCCACCCCCCCCCCATCCCGCCCCACAATGTTATGCGCCCCCGGCTTGGGCGTTGAGCAGCTCCCTTCCATGTGGAACGGTTTGGGTTGTTTATGGCCGTCCCCAAATAGTTGCACGGGGTCACCCCCCCTCCTGGGCCTTGAGCTTTGGAGTTGAGTTCCCCGCCCCACTGGCTCAAGCGTGACAAATGATTGGGGCTGAGGCTTCCGGCTTCAGGGGGCTGGGCCGGGGCGGGGGGGGCAGAACGCACAGCGCACAAACATCCATATACACAGGCAGCCGCTTTTCGCAGAACAGGCCTGACAAGGCCAGGGACGCGTTGCACACGTGGCACTCCTTGACGACTTCTCCAACGAATCCTGGTGGAGCTTATGCAGTACACAACTGCCCATCGTCTATTACACCAAGGGTGCAGAAACGTAGTGCAAAGAGGGTCCACGGATGCAGCTGCTGGATCATCTCAGTTCCGTTTTCTACAGTCTGCTCCGGCAAAAAAAATGTGGCACCCCCGATGTTTTCGTAGTGAGAAGACACTTTCACTCTGATATCACGGATAGTCGCCAAGCATCCTCGCTGACAGGTCCATGTTCCGTTTGGCAGCTTCGTGTAGCCCAGTGGTGTAGGATGTGGGTCGATGCAAACCTGCAACAGATCGGAGAGCAGTGGGTCACACCGTCCCAGCCGCTAAGAATCCGTTTGAGAACCTGGAACTCGCAGCGGATGCGCTCAAACTCGATGACTTTCGTGGGGTCAATGTTGCCTGGGATTGAGAAGCATCTCCACAACTCCCCACAAAGCTCCGTCGCTGTGCCCAGACGCCTGCTGGGCAGCTGGGTTCTGTGGCATTGTCGGGGAGACCTGGCCAGATCGCCGGATCCCCGGGCCGAGCCCCCACACTTCTCGTGCAAAGTCTACAGTGAGGAGGCTTCGAAGAGGGAGAGCTGCTAGAGGCACTGAGCTGAACACACAAGGCAGCCATAAGAGTGGATGCTGAGCAAGTAACCAGCCATGGAGATGTTGTTGGTCATCATCTGCTCTTCCATTTCCATCTCATCCTGACATGAAGACAGCTGACGGAGGTGCGGTGCCGTCAACATGACGGCAAACAGCAACCACAGTGGGGAGGCCTCCTCCCAGACATAGGAGGTGTTTTCAATGTAGCCGGCCAAGCAGGGGACTCGGCAGGTCTGTCCCGGGCCGGTCCCGGTACATGCGGAGTAGTTCAGGCCGCAGATCTGGTCCTGGCAGGGCCAGCCGAGGATACATCGAAGCATGCGGCTGCGTTACAAACCCGCCCTCTGTCCATGGATCCACATGGATCCACCATGAGCACAGCTTGCAAGGCTTCGGAAAACTCCATGGGGTACGAGCTTGAGTGATTAGCTTCGCTTTGACTGTTCTTGGTCTGTTCAGTTTCTGGTGTCGGTTTCATTGCTTGGTTGCGGTGAGTACTCTAACTAGTCCCAAACAAATCACATCGCAAGAGTTGTTCATGCCGCATCTTCTGCAACCCTTCGACATACCCATGCTCCAATCTCCGAGTACAGGATAACGTGCGGCTTCTATCTGCGAAACAGTGCAGTAAATCATCTGGATATTCCTGTTGTTTGGTTTGGCTGCTTACCTGATTTCAACTGTAGAACAACATGTTCAACAGCCTGTTTGATCTAGTCGGGTAGATTGCGGCCCATGCTGAAGCTCCGTCTGACGTTGACGAACTACAACATGGCGAAGGTGAGCAGCCGACTAAAGTGTATAATTCAAGCCCTTTCAGATTCTGAAGTTCCTCAAGACTGACAAAAACCCAGAACTGCCTGGTGCTATTTGGCGCGTTCAAGAAGAACACAGCGATCGAAAGCAACACCCTTCCGAATACATGCAGGACGAGCAAGCCACAGAAAGCTGGCACGTGGGTGAAAGTTTCCAATCCAAGTTTGAGAGTTCAGGACTACCTCTGCCAACGCCGATTTGCAACATTGCTTGAGGCCACTTTTGCCGTTGTCTTCAGCTGTATAGTTCTTCCACGAAGACCCGAAACCCAAAACCTAAAGCCCTAAACCCAAAACCCTAAACCAAAAGCCCTAACCCCTCGTCCCAACCCCAAAAAGCCGTCCTCTGGAGCTGGCAAAGCACAAGGCACCAACTCGTGGCATCCGGATAGGATGAGCATCGGGGCACAGAACCGGGCGAGATAGCAGTCCCACTCTGCCTTTGGGGGTTTTGGGGGTTTTGGGCTTTAGGGCTCAGCACTTGGGGTTTGCAGAAGAAACGTATAATCACGGTACGAGTGGAGGATTCTGGGTATGACCCCAAACCCGAAGCTCCAAACCCAGCGCCTCTCCGATGTAGCCTTCGGCACACTCGTAGCTGCTCTCATTCACCTGGACATTTGGGGCTGCTGAAAACCCCTACAACATGCAACCAAGTCGAAGAAGCCTCCGACATCCCCTGAAGACATGGCCCAACAACTATAAAAGGTGAGCTTTCCTCGCCTTGACATAGCCTCGGGTCAGAGGTACGGGCTCCTGGCACGGGCCGAATGTCGCTCTATCGTCACTTTTGCCTGCGAGGGGCCTGGCCTCGCAGCCGAAGGGGAAGCGGCAAGAAGGAAGCTCTCCCACCACAAGCTGCGTCGAATCCACCTTGGGCTCCAGGCATGGGGAGGGCCCTGCGTCCAGGGCTCTGGGGCTCTCACGTTGTCTGCCGGACAGTGGAACGTGCTCGGAACTCCCACCAAAGGTGGAGTGCAGCTTACCTCACAACTCTGCCCTGGAGGCAGGTTCCCGCAGGCCGAGACGTCATGGCCTCGCAGCTTCGCCCAAGCGCGATTTGCACAAGATGGCGCCAGTCTCAGCTGCGGACGGCACGAGTCCACCACTGGGGCCACGCCTCGATGGGTGCCGGGTTTCGAGGGACCCTATCCTAGGCTGCACGACCTTTGAGGCTTCCGCATGGCTGCGACGGAGCACCTGGAGAGACCCTCATACGAGTCTGTGCACCGCACTGAAACCTACAGTATCTTGCAAAGGCAGACTCTGCTGTCGAAGACTGGAAAATCTGCTTTGAAACAACGCGGCCCCATGGAAAGCTTCGAAGGATTCTGTGGACCTGGCATGGTACCTAAAAATACAGCGGCCGTCTTTAGAACAGGCTTGAGGGGCATTTCTCTAAAAGGGATTCTCATTACGCATCTTCCCTGTCCTGACCCCCGAAGAGTAGCCCACTCCGTGCCGGCAAGGACACAGCCAGAAAAAGACGTCACGGTGACGCATTCCACTGTCCCGGTCGCGCTGCTGTAGGCTCCTGCGGTTCAGGGCTCAGGCTTGAGAGATGCGGCCTGTTGGGAAGATGCTCACAACTATTACCGTGTATATACAAATGTGTATATACATATATATATATATATATGTATACTTCTATATAATCATAAATACATAAATATATATATATATATATATATATGCCCACACACAGGGTCCAAAAGCCTGTTGTGACTTTACCGCTGCATGCACCTTGCAAGTGGCAGGAGATCTGCGCCAGACCAGCGTAGCCAGGCGCGCAGCGGTACTCTATGCCTGACAGTAAAAGTCATTCCGGCTGCCACGGTATTCCCAAGGACTGGCATTTGGCAGTTGGTAACCCAGTTGGTTGCACCTTCTTGGCAATGCGGCAACTCTAGCTGGCTTTGAGCCGTTAGAACTAGAGGTCGGGGCAAGACAGACCCTAAACTCCAAACTCCATCAGCTCATGCCAGGCAAGTGTCTGGCCACGTTCGCACCGTCAGGCAGCTGGATTGTACTGTTGGAAACATTGCCAGCTGTGGCACCTTCGGCTGGCTAAGGTTCCGGGTCGTGCCCGGCTTCGCGGCAAGACTGTCACTTTTCGGTCGCTGGCCTACATGGACGTAACCTTCTGGTATTACCTCTGGTGGTGGGCAATACATGTTGCACCTCGGTTAGGCCAACTCATCGACAGCTTGAGGCGAGCATGAGCCAGCTGCATGTGCATCACCATGCGAAAGCTCATACGGCTGAGCGTGTTTGCAAACAAGGGAACGTAGGCAAGTCGTACTCCATTCTTCGTCTGGGATCGATGTTCCGCTCCACACAAGAGGCATTCGTGACGTCTCCTAGACGGGCATCCCACCAAGGACAACACATTCAACTTCCTATGGCAACCGATGACGCCCGCTCCTCGCATCGGCTCCCTGCACGAAAGCTGGCAGATCGTCCCTGGTGCAGGGCCAGTGTACTCCGCGATGTTCGTCTGAGAGCGGGAAGCACGCAAAGAGGCAAAGTATACATGGGCTTGTCGCTACTTAAAGGATCATGGGACTTAGTAAGTAGGGTTATAACTAAGGTAACTATACTTATAACCCCACTTAGGGGACTTGTAACCTTACTTACTAAGTNNGTCCCATGATCCTCCAAGTATGCTTCACCGCAAGATGCACCCCAGAGGCCGCTAGCAGGTCAAACTAGGGCTGGCCTGGCTCTTCTCTTCGCACTCCGTGATGTTGAAAGTGCATGTATCGAAGGAGCGAGGGTCGATAGGCATGCACGGCAGCATCTGGAAGCACCCTTGCAATGTCCTTAAGCATGCACTCATCACTGCATTCTGCTGGCTGCAGAAGCGGAGTCGCCCCTTGCTAAGGCCCCCGGCGCTGGAACAGCACAAGTGGTACCTCGGCTGAAGACCTATCGTGCACCTTCTTCTTACCCTAAACCCTAAACTC